TATATATATATATATATATATATATATATACTTACAGAGAGATAGAAGTCGGGTTCGCGTCAACTAAATAAACCCTCTCGAGTATTACTCCTCACCTCGGGAGAATCGATTCATCGACATGGCGCAAATCTTTGCTTCCCCCCTGCCATCCCCTTGGCACAATAACCTCCGTGGCCGTCCTCCCTATTTACTTTATAATAGGATACAAACGTGACGCAGCGATACGAGCGAACGTATACGTAACTCGTTTTTAACGTGTATACAACAAGGGAGGCGCTGATCTTAGCGAATCGGTATTTAGCGACCAGAAAAACGAACGCCGAAAAAGCAATCGTCCTCGATTAAGCAAACGGATCGTGCACATCCCTCCTCTCTCGAGCAAACGGCGACGAGAAATGGATCTTGGAGACAACAAGCAAATTGGAGAGCAACGCGAAGCAACGTCGCCAAGCTAGGTGAGGTACATGATTCGAGGTATCGCGATTGATTTTCCCAGTTCCTTCACCCCCTTCAGCGATTCTCTTTGTCGTTATTCCTTTTTTTCCCCATTTTCTTTTTTCGGTTTTTTCTTTTTTTTTTTTTTTTTTTTTTTACGCTTTTCGCTTTTTAGTAGTAACATATCGCGTAGTAGATCACAGTAGTAGTATCCGGAGGTCGAAGATGAGGCCACTGCTATCTCTCCTTTGACTCCGAGGAATCTTTTTCTCGTAACGAGCGACCATATTACCACACAGGCAGGAACACCGTTAATATCTCGGTGTCGTTCGACAACGGGTATTCACAACGCGTGTCGAAAGACGACATCGTGAAGATAGACATCGGTCGATCTGATCCGACAAATCAGCGAGACACGAGGTCAGCGATCACGGCAACATCGACCACGGTAAACGTGTTAGAAAAAAGTAATAAGAGGGATCTCGTGTTTCGATGAATCGTCTCAGTTGCTCGATAATGTCCTTGCTAATCATTGTCCACCGTCTCGAGCCACTCGAGAAACGATATGCTCCATCCGTTGGATCCGTGGGATCCATGAGAACCATGCGATCCTTGGGATCCATGGGACCCGTGAGATCCGTGCGAACCGTTATTGTGCTGCTGTTTCGTTTGCAATTGATGACTATGCTGTTGCTGCTGTTGCTGTTGAGCTTGCTGTTGTTGTGGTTGTTGCTGCTGCTGTTGTTGTTGCTGTGGCTGCGATTGCTGCTGACTACCACTAGTACTACTGCTACTACCGTCACCACCACCACCACCACCACCACTACTAGCATCACCACTAATAGAGTTCAGCGACGGATGACTGCTGACGGTCGCTTGATGATTGGTTGCCACCGTTTGATCTCTTCCTCTTCCTCTTCCACCGTCGTTACGTTGCAATGCCGAGTATATGGTAGACATGGTATGGAAGATGTCGTTCAACTGCTTCACCTTGTTCGTGTTCTCCGTATTGTTGGTCTGCAACGTGTTCGACTTGGTCGAACTTTTGCTACCGGACGCGGAAGTACGGAGGCCGGAAGCGGAGGTAGGCGGCGCAGAGGCTGCCGGTAACGCGGGCAAAGCGTCGTTCGTTTTCTTTGGAAGCTCTGGCAATCTACGGCGCAGCCATCTGTGTTTCAACGCTTTGCCAGGTGTCATACGCTGTTCCGGGTCCCATTTCAGGCAGCGATGAATGAAATCCAGGAAATATGGATCGTCGCAATTTTTCAATACCTGCCTCAGATCCCTGGAGCCGGGCGGGCCACGGTCTTTGCCTTTCCTGGAGAAACCGCCGTTCAACACGATCGAACCGTCGGACATCGTTATAACGGTGCAATAGCGTGGATAACCCTTTGAGCTGATGAACTGCCTACACCGTTTCGCGGATTCTAACAGCTGAGGCGGCGGCATGCCTAGCAACTCGATGATACAGGCCAGCTGGTCGGACTCGTCTTCGCCTGGCAGCAGCGGGAAACCGGTAACCAGCTCCACCAAGATGCAACCGAGGCTCCACATGTCGATTGGCATACCGTACTTTGCACCCAGGATCACCTCTGGCGCGCGATAGAAGCGACTTTGAATGTACGTGTAGACGCGTTGGTTCTCGTAGCAGCTCGAACCAAAGTCTATCACCTGGAACAACAAACGGAAACGAGTTTGAGGATGTATTTTACGCAATGATATTATTATATTGCCATTACAATCGAAACATTCCGGTATGCGGTATGTTATGATTCACAAGTTTGGGATCATTTCTTTTTCCTCCTCCCTCTTCCTTTATCTTTATTTCTGACAGAATTGACGCGTTAACAATGCCAATAAATCTCAACTGTGTCCCATACCGTGACGTAAATACCGTTATCGATGGTACGAATAATATCGTTTTAATAGTTCTAAACGATCCTAAACAGACACGCTGATGGAATATTATTATATCTCTCGCAAACTCTAATACCAATTCGAAATCCTGGAACTTACTGAATCGTATCATGAATATCGTACGTGGACTGAATGAAATCGGAGCCCGTGTATCGTTTATGGCACACGTTTTCCAAGGAAAACGTGACAAAATGATACGAAAGAACCGGTTTTTTTTCTCTAACGCATAAACGTATAAAGGCTCGATACGATCGTTTTTCACCATGATTCTCGTAAGCTGAGGATTACATTAATTAATATTCATTCGACGTTATCGTTACAAACCGTTAAGATGTTTGTGAGGCGGAATAGAGAAACGCGTGACTAGAGAAGATCGAGCAAGGCAGCGGATAATTTTGTGCGATCATATCTGTTTTTGCTACCGGCCTACTTTAATATTTCGGGTAACATCGAGTGCTCTCTCTCTCTCTCTCTCTCTCTCTCTCTCTTTTTCTCTCTCTCTCAAGGTGTGCGGCAAACAAGAACGTCACATTGGAATTTATCCAGGGTTATAGCGGTTAGCTCGATTTATTGGCTAGGGTCTGTGAAAATTTCAACAAGACGCGATATCGATAATTAAGAGATTATTCCACGCGGACCAATTTCCTCCTGATCGACAAACAATATAATCTTTTTATTTGGAAGAGAGTTCTCTCCTGTTTCTTCACAAAAGAATACGATCTTTACGCTTAGAAGAGTTAGCAAGAGAGTGTCGCGTATTTGCGTCGAATGAAGTAATTCGAAATGCGAACGTTGGTTAGAGGATAGAATTCATTTATCAGAACGTGGATCCCTATTCTTCGAACGAGATAATGGAACTCCCTATTGTTTTCTCCAAATGTAGTTTCAGATAAATGGAGTTTTGCTACACATAATCGAAAGTCTTAGTATTTCTAGGAAGCTTTAGTTTTGATATTCTATATATCGGAGAACATGAAGATACATAAACGTGCGGGATCAACGAAACTAATACAGTGCGGTCTTAAATTAATAAAATGTTGGATCTTTGATAATTATTTCTCTAAACAATTATCATTACTCCGTTACATCGATCTTTATTTTGTCTAAACGTTTTTCCAGCGTAGCCCATTCCAAACGAAATTCATTACGATATTTTAATTTTCCATTTATTATCTCTAATCTATACAACAATTTTTCAACTTACGATCTTACAGATTCCTGCTAACTTTCACGCGCATTCCTACGAACGCGCGCTCGATCACTATAAATCCGATATTCAAGCGTAAACCTCCAACTCCTCTTCCATTCGATTCTCTCAAACGCTTCTCATCCATGCTGCAGCATCCACATATCATCGCTCGAACAACCTCCGAGAAACAATTTAATCCTTACACACGCGTTCTATTCACCTTGGAAAAAAAAAAAAAAAAAAAAAAAAACATTTCCCATGAACACACCGGTTTTCTCGATGGGGGGGGACCCTTCCCTTATTAAATGCAAGCGGCTAAGCCTGGGAAAGATATTGATTTTTCGAGTGAAAAACCAGCGTCTTCTCGTTTCCCTCCACGCGGCCAAGATATGTCTGACGCCGGGGGTTCGCACATTATGCGCACGAAAAGACGTGGCAAAACGATTCGTACGATCGGGTTCCCGCGCGTCAACGTAAATAGAAAGCGACACGGTTGATCGATTTCGACGGGTGTCGCGCCGGAAGCCCGGCCGAAGGGTACGTTGTTTGACGGAAGTCGCCCCGAAGGGACGTCGGCCCTGTCACTCCGCTAGAAAACACGCGTTCGAAATGTGGGTTCCGTTCAGTTCTGATCCCGTTCACCGATCGTACCTTTTCCCATCGTGAAATTACTTTCTTGAAACGGTGTAAACAAGCGCCAACTTCCGCGAAGCGAACTTATCTAAGGACTTTTTTTTTTTTTTTTCTTCGTTATTTTTAATTAATCGTCGTGGGCACGTGGTGTCATTCCACGCGATACACGTTGTGGATTTTACGATCTCTTCCACGTTCACCGATATTTCTTCACGGTTGAAAGCGTACGCTGCAAAATACGTGTTCGAATAAAACGTCGGTGAAATTCGATTTGAATCCATTACTCGTTTCATTTTTATTTTTTTCATTTTTTTTTTTCTCTCTTTCTTTCTTTCGTCTCGGACAAACCGACGTCGGAGTTTATAAAGGAAATATTTATAAAGGAACCACAGACCTACGTGAAACGTTCCTGGGAATATTTCGTGGCGATGGATTTGTATAAGCAGTATAATTTACGGGACAGTTTATGCGTTCGTTCACACTAACGTGGAACCATTTCTGCCAAGGCTGCGAATTTTAGCGGCTTTTTCCTTTCGCTGATTTATCTTACTTTGTTACTTGTTTACGACAAGCCGGAAAAAAATTTTTCAAAAACGGTCCATCTTTTCTCTTTCGAAATCTCTTGGATTAAAATTTAAAAGAATCGTGAAATTTCATTCTCAATATCACGAGATCGCTGCTTCCTTCGAACGATTGAAATTATCGATGATCGATAATAACGCGAATGTAAATTAACGGGAGTCTAGTGGGGGATGGAGGAACCGTCGAGACGTTTTATCGTGGCCCGTGAAACGAGATACGAGAAGAAAAATGTTTATTCGCGGTTTCCCTTTCATTCCGTTGCGGGAACAGCGATAAAAAGAAGCTCGTTTCCCCTAATTGGAGCGAGCTGTTTAGCTTTCGAGGTAACAGGTGGTATACCTGTGCGCTACTACTTATTCACGCGAGCCCAGCTTCACCGAAGAAAAATCTTTCGTTCAAGATCTACCCGCGTTGTTGTTCCCCCTTCTGGGGAACGTCTATCGCCTGGATGGAATTGGAATTCGTCGAGCGACGAACTAGAATTATTTCCAATATCTTTCGTAACCTTTTCCTCGATGCTCGTTTATCGATCCAACCGCAGGAATTCTCTCTCTTCGTGCTCTCTTCTTTGAAAATATAGAAATAAAAATTTAAAAAGCACGATGTAATGTAATCAATAACCATAATTTTGATTTAAATGAGTATTTATTTATTTATTTTTTTCTTAATAAAATGGAAAGAGCGTTTTTTGATGGAATAATTTGTTGAAAGGCGAGCGAGAGGAGAACGTTCGAAGAAATTTCAATTAAAGCACGGTGCGCCTTTGACATATTCGTGATCAAGCGGTGTATTGCGCTAATACGGAGCGTGTCGTCGGCTGACGACGATCGATCTTTCTCATCGATCGGACGAGCCTTGACCTTTGTCGAAATTTCATTTTAAATACGTCCATAATCGACAGATTTACATTATAATTATTCTTATATACCTCGTTCGAGAATTGCACTGATATAGTATATATATAAGTATAGTAAAGGAAATTTATATCTCTAATTTAAGATTATACATCGCGTGTTGTACTCCCTACGGTCTTTCCGACTACAAACCTCGGTTTAAAATTAGAAATGGCTATTAATTTCGAGCGTGGAGACGCGGACACGGAGTGCCGTTTGATGTATGAATCGAATATAAGGATGAATGTTCGAAATCAGAGATTATAATGCGGCAAGAGAGCGCATGTGTAAAGGTCAAGGTTCGTTTACGGATTATTCTCTTTAATTCCGATGGCTTATTTAGGAATTCGAAACACGCGGAAAAGGGGAATGGACAATAATGTGACCAATAATAAAACGGATCGATATTGTATTATCATTGATATATATATATATATTATAATAAGAGAGATAATACGCACGAGATTTGATTTACCTTGACATAGATAACAGAAAAGCATTTTCGTATGGAATGTTGCGTAATATTATATATATATATGTGTGTGTATGTGTGTGTGTATATGTTGTTATATCAAAAGAGATTAAAATTACAGCGTCGATGCAATGTTATACACGCGTAATCGAAGAAGTGAACGAGATCGCTCTTCATAATGAATCGTAACACAGGAAGAACGGGCAAATTGAATATTTCCACGATGAATAAGCTCGTTGCAGGTGTAATTAATATGCATCGGTCGAATGCTTCGTAAGATGCATTTTTCTGCATCCTTGCTCTGTTGGAATTGTTCCATTGTTTTTTTGGTAATATGAGTGTAAAAAATTGATTTCTTCTTTTTTTCTTTTTTTTTTTTTTGTGTGTTATTACTTTCCATCACTTTACGTAATGGTTTAATTAATATATTACCGCGTTAATTAGAGTATCGTGTAATTCACATTTATTGTTTTTTAAACATAATTAGCAATTAATTGGCGTTGCTCGATGAATTTGCAAATTTTAATCACTTCGAATTTATTCATTGCAAAAACGAACTGTAAATTCATAAAATTCACAACGTGGAATATCAGAATTTACATTAACCTTAGGAAGATTTTACATACAGATTTTACAGAATCCATCTGTCCTAAAAACATAGGAATTGCATTTCTGACAATGCTATAGAATTTAATTCGATCAAATTCAAATATTCATCAGGTGCTTTAAATTACTCGATTCATCTGTAGTAGCGATAGATGAATCTCTGAAGACCAAAAGACTTCGTGTAATCATTGAAAATATTATATATAATCATATATCCTTGAATTCTCAATACTCTAAAACTTATCTACATATTAAATAATCTAACATTTTTCACTATGATCGTTTCTATTCCATTTTAAGAATTTCATTTGTCGAGTTTTACAAATTGAAAACAATGTCTGTCGTTAATATAATTTTACATTCGAATCTTAGAGAAATT